GAATGAGTGCCCATTTGCTTATGGCCTCTCTGGATACAAACCAAACATCCAGAATGCTAGAGCTATGCCAAAGGCAGTATTTCTAATTCAACCATTTTTCCTCTAACAGTCAAGAAAAGTCTCAGATTCCCCACTCTTACCACTGAACACACTTCGTATGGGGAATTAAGACCAGAAGGACCTACATCTTTCCACGTATGCTCAAAATGACCTCTCTAAACATGATTAGATACAGAATGTGCCAGGAACAACCTGTTACAAAGGGCAGAAAGGGCTCTGTTTGGGGAAGGGATGGTGACACGATCTTTAAAAATATACCTATTTCTTTGTATTCATGTATAGTAAGCACTAGGAATCACACCCTTCATATTCTATGACTAGTCATAGACTAATAAGAGGCTTCCAGTACTCTCAGAACAGTGATTCCCCTAGAATTGGAAACTGCATGCTAAGGTACCTGGGAGCCTGTAGTGCTTTGGGACTCAGTGCACAGATTTATCAGAAGTGAAAACCAAAATAGTTGCTAGGTTAGTTGAAAAGCACCCAAATTGAGCTTTATCGTTGAGGTATATATTTGAGCTTTAATTGAGCTTTGAGTTACTTTTAAAGAAAAGATAACTGATTTCATTGAGTCAATTCAAGTCACAAAAGACCCACTTCTACTGCCAAAAGTTGCTTTGCTTTCTGACTCCACGTGAAATAGAGAAAACCAGCTGCCTTTGGCCATTTCAAAATAAGTGCCTCCTCAGAGGGAAGTAACGGGTGCTAGAGACAGAGGAAGAGCTCTATAACCTCAGGACGGGCAGAATTTCTGATCACACACTGCCATGCTGTCTGGGCATTGTCTTTGTTTCCTTCTCACACAGTCTCTCCCCATCCTTCTCAGCCTATTCAGCCTTCTTTCAGCCACAGGGTATTTGTTATGTAGTTGCTGCCAATTTGGCTGGTGAGAAGTCAGGCCTGGAGGAAATAGAGGGTCCTGGAAAGAACATGGACTTAAGGCCCCAACAGGGTCTACTCCTGACTCCTCCCACAAGACAACTGTGCCTCCATTACAAACTATGGAAGAAGACCTCACTGACAGGTCATCAGGGACCTGGTTAGCAAAAAGTGATCCTGCTACCTGGATACAACCTCTCAGTGTGTGAAGGGGTGGCAGGAATGGAAAGGGAGGGCTGGCCATAGGGTCCTTTAGGGCCAGATTCAAGCAGCTCACTCAGGAAAACATTCTGAAAACCTTTGGGCTCTTGTGTGCTTGGATCAAACAATGAAACTCAGTTCTTGCTTTCAAATGTAAGAAACCTCAGACTGGGCAAACCTCACAGAGTGTGAGTACCCCCAAATCCCCCAGAGATTTGGCTCCACTAAGGCTCTCTGAACAAAGCCTGGGCAAGATCTGCTGGTTCAGTAGCAGCCTGGTTTCTAGATTGGAGAGCCTCCCGGGACTCCCAGCAGCCTCCAGCTGGTACTGCCCAGGGTTGCTCACCCTATCCCACGATTTACCTCTTTACCTTCCCTCTGTCCCTACACCATGCACATAGGATGGACCAGGCACTGGCCTTACCTCCTGACCGACGGCTGGCCTCTGGAACCTCTGGCCTCTGTTTACAATCAGGAGAAGGTTGTTAGTAATGAACATCTCCCTTCCGCGAAGGGAAGCTTGGTCACTGACTTTTTTTTTGGCCCTGACTTCTTTCTCCCTAGACTTTTGGGAGTCCTGTCGCTAGTGACCAGCTCATAGCTGTGTATGCTATGAGCTTCAGGAGCTCATAGCTACTGAAGACATAAGAGAAATTTGCCATCTGGTTTCCCAGACAGAACTAGAAGAGGCCTAGAAAGTAAGCAGGTGCGGGTGTTAGGCGAGGTGAGCCTGAGGTGGTGGCTCTCCAATGTGAGGATGTGAGGCGGAGGGATTGAAGAGCTGCCGCAGGTGAGTCTGAGCGGGTGGGGGCAGCGGCAGGTATACCCGGAGTGTGAGTGTGTGTGTGTACACACGCGCGCGGGAGGGGGTGGCGGGGGGGGGGGGGGGCGACGTGACGCACCTGCACTTGGAACCTGGCGCCTAGGTGACTGGTGGCCACTAATCTGTGGATTCGTTTTCCCGGTTCCTGGTTCCTTGTCGGGTGGCGATGAGTGGAAACTAGCCCTCGAGGACCCTTTGCTTTACCTCCGCAGGTAGCCAGTGGCATGCACCTTCTCCCGGTCCTCGCGTCCTCGCTGGGAGACTGCGGGGAATTAAGAACAGCACCGTGCCCTGGCCCCGCGTGGGTGTCAGCCAGCGCCCAGGGGACCTTGACCCCGCTCTGCGGAGGCTTATGGGTGGGCCTCAGGGACGTCTCCAGCCAGGGGCTTTTCGATGGTCCCAGAAGTAACCAGAGGAAAAGTGGTTCGCACTCTCTGAGTGGAGTTCAGGGGAGTAAAGAGCCTGGGGTAGCCCACAGAAGTCTTCCGGCCGCACATCTGCGGTGAACAGAGGCTCAGCGGGGTCGCTGCTCGGCTGCTCGGTGGGTTGCACTAGGCTCGGGGCAGGGCGGGCGCCGCCGCCGAGCACAGGGCGGTTCCAGCCTCTGCTAAGCTGCGGTGCGAGGGGGCTTGCAGGCTTCGCCGCGAAACCCGTGAGGTGTCGTCTTCTTTCACTGTTCAGCTTCTGCAGGTCTTTTTTTTTTTTTTAATAACCAAACACATGTTTAACTCTCCTTACAGATTTTAAAAGTTTAGTGGGCTCCACCCTGCTTGCTTGCGCACACCAGGGGGATTCTGTTCCAAGCACGCACTACTCGCTACCCTCCAACCCCACCTCTGCCCCAGTATCCAGGAGAGTTGAAAAGGAACCTAGGGTCTGGGTTCCAATTCAATCACTGCCGGCAAGAGCTGGTCACTTCTCTTGTCTTAGCGAACACAGGGCTCTTCCTAAAATCTTCCCCTCGGATCCCAGAGGAAGTCTAAGTGCACCTCGCCAGCCTCCAGGATGAGGTGGACTAAAGCCCAGGCTGATATTTTGGCCTTCCTGGGTCATCTCTAGACAAAAGTATGGTCCTCTACTGGGCTCTTGCAGCTGAAGAGAGGGACACAAAAAAATGGTTGTTTCAGTGGGGGTGTGACTTGAAAAGCTGAAGACAAGAGGCCAAATCTCAGCCTCCAGAAGCTTAGCCAAGTGGTCTTCAGCTTCTCAGGTTTGGGGAAGAGGCTGAGGCTGGAAGTACTTCTGCTCTTTCAGCGGACTCCTGAGGGAGAAGAGGAAGAGAAGTAAACAACCGGATTTGTTTGGAACATCTTTGCCCCCTGAGGCATGGGATAGACAGACTGTGTGACAGGAAAGGGAACTTATTAATGGCATCCAGTGGCACCTACCTATGGGCCTTTAACTCTGACAGCTTTGTCACAGAACCAAGGGCATCACCTGCAGAAGGCACAGTGCCCAGGTCAGCATCCCACAATCAATCACTCAGGAAAGAGACTTCAGGCAAGTATACTGTTCTGAGGGACTGCTGTCTGTTCTCAAATACCCACTTTCAGGATTGCCTCGTAAGGCTCTGCTTGCCGGCACTAGCTAAAGCCAGAAGTCTAGAGTAGAAAGAGAGGGGGTGTTCAGTCCAGGACAGCATCTTCCATAGTGTATTAGGGGCATGTGCCCAAGCTATGCACATCCATGTGTCATATGACCTTTCTTCCCCACAGTGGCTTCACTGGACTGTACAGGTGATTTCCTGTTTTACAGCTGCTTTGATGTTAGATATTGTAGTCATGGAATATTTCCAATCCTGAAACATCTAAATGCCTCTTATAAGCTTTTCATTAGTGAGATAGGAACCCTTAAATGGGAATTCAATAATGGATGAAGCTACATCTTAACATCAACTTCAGCTTATGTGAATTGACCTTAGAGGTCACTGTTACAGTCTTTTCATTAAAATGACCAATGAATAATGTATCAGAGTGTAGTTTAAAGCTCCAAATATGTTTTCAGACAAATATTCCAAGAATGCAAGTCAGGTATATTTCTCAGATAATTGACAGTAGAGGCACGGCGGCGTACACGGAAATTCTCGGGTTCTCAGGTTTCCTGAAACCCGGCGCGCGCATCATTAATCATTCATTGGGGTCGGTCCCTCAGTCAACTGCAGCTCAGAGTCAGCCTGAGCGAGCAGTTAGCTAATCCTTCCTGCCAAGGGGGTCCTGGGGGGAGAGAGGACAACTGGACGGTCCCCCCGTGTGCTGGTGCCCAGACCGGCCTCTCCTGCCCGGCTCCCGAGCGCGCCGTGAGTGCGCCAACACCCTCCCGGACGCAGACCGAAAGCTTCCCGTAAGGAAAAACAAATCGGGCATAATGTTTGGCACAACCCGGAGTTTCCAATAGGAAAGTAGCTCGAATCGTGGCCTAAAGACTCAAAGTGGCTCCCCACGTGCCGAATAAACCCGTTCCTTAGCTGTTGAATAAATCAGAGACCAGCAGCAACTGCAGCCTCCTCCTGCCGCGCCGCACTAAAGGCTTCCCAAGTTGGACTGCGAGTCCGGGGGGGGGGGGGGTCCCCGCTGCAAGCTCTCTGAAGTGCTGGGAGTCTCCCGGCCCGACTTCTTCCCGAGGGGTTCCCGGGTCGGGGTTGTGCTTGCGGTGCCTGCTCGGCGACGGGAAGGGAACCTGGACCTTGGGTCCTGGGTGGGCGAGGTGGGCGAGGACGCGGACTCACTTCCACGTTTGGACCCCCCCCCCCCCGCCGCGTTCCGGTTGCTGCTCCCGGAGGATTCGTAGCTCGAGCGGAGCCGAACGCCGCGCAGCCTGGGCTCCAGCGGGAGGGCTGCCGGGGTGCGTGGCCCCGGCCTGCGCGTGCCCAGCGTCGGGGTGCAGCTCGCGCCCTCCCGGCTTCTCCTCCCACTCGCCCTCTCGCATCCCCTCCCTCCTCCACACCCCCCGCCCCCGGGACCGCCAGGCTCCCCCCCCCCCCCCCCCCCCCCCCCCGGCACCGGCCCGAGAGTACACAAAGCGGCGGGTGAGGGGAAGCTTCGCAGGCGTGCACCAAGCAGTGAGATCACCGGCGTTATAAATATCCCGGTACCAGCGCCGGATCCGTTCGAGTGGCCTCTCTCCCTCCCTCCCTCCTTCCCTCCCTCCCTCTCTCCCTCCCTCCCTCTTCCCCGAGGCTATGTCCACCCGGTGCGGCGAGGGGGGCAGCGCCAGAGGCACGCAGCCGCGCGGGGGCTACCGAGCCCAGAGCCGGCCCTACAAGATGCACTTAGAAACCCCGCGGCTGGAAGAATGAGCTTGTCCTTCCTCCTCCTCCTCTTCCTCAGCCACCTAATCCTCAGCGCCTGGGCTCACGGGGAGAAGCACCTCGCCCCCAAAGGGCAACCCGGACCCGCTGCCACCGGTCGGAACCCGGGCGGCGCCGGCGGCAGCAGGACCAGCAGGGGCACGACGTCTTCCTCTTCTTCCTCCGTCTCCTCCCCCCGCGGGGCTTCGCCGGGCAACCGAGGAAGCGGCTTGGAGCAGGGCAGTGTCCAGTGGAGCCCCTCGGGGCGCCGGACCGGCAGCCTGTACTGCAGAGTGGGCATCGGCTTCCATCTGCAGATCTACCCGGATGGCAAAGTCAATGGCTCCCACGAAGCCAATATGTTAAGTAAGTTGCTCGCGCTCCCGGCAGAGCGCGTCCTAAGCGGACGGCGGGGGTTCGGGAAGGACAGCGGTTGTGCCCCGGCGCACGGGAGCAGCCTCCGGAACCCTGGCGGCTGGGACCCAGCTGGCCCTCCACACTGCCGGGCGGGTTGGGGGGAGCGGCCTCTCCGCGGCGCGCACACACGCACCCCTCCCGCGGGGAAGCGGAATGGCGATTCCTGGCGGGCGGCTGCCTGGAGCCGGTGCACAAGACAGGCACCTCGTTTCCAGTTTGCCGGGGTCCCAGCGACGGGCCTCCAGCCTGTCTGGGTCTGGAGCAAAGAAACACAGATCTTTCTGCCTCTTTGGTTTCTGTGCGTCTCCGGCTTCTGTTTACTAAGACTAGCATTTTTCCTTGAGGCATCAAAGTGCATCCCTTTTCCCTGTCCATAACTGAACAGTTATTTTTTTTAGAAGAATCAAGTCTCACATGCTGCCCCCGCCAAGGCCACCAGAAACCCCAAAGTAATATATATTATACATATATTTATCCGTGTTTATGTCTATTGCATATCCATATTTGCACATTATATACATATAGAACATGTATGTATATCCGAGGGCAGACCAGACATCCCCTGCTTAGAGGAAGGCAGTGATCTGGAAAACCGGACACGCTTAGGGAAGGATACGTGATGGACATTCGGGTGACTGATTTCCGAGTTGGGTTTAGCAACGTTTAGTGTGTTGAGACCATGACAACACCTACCTTGTTAGGAGGCGGCCAGCCTTTGGTCCCCAAGGACAATCAAGGAAAAGTCCTTTATTTTGGAAGGAACTCAGAAGAGGTTCATTCAGTTCCCTCCAGGTGTATTGTGTACGTCTTTTTTTTTTTTTTATGCTAAGTTTTAAATACTCTTTCGGAGCTTTCTCGGGCTGTCTCTCTTCTCCCCCTCTTCCCATGGCCTCTTTCCTTCCGCCCCATCTGCTTAGTCTCTCCAGCCTATCAAGCCGCCCCTCTGATTCCTCTCACTGCCTCTAGGCAGCGGAGGGGGGAGACGATTTGGGGGCGCGTGCGGCACTGGGGCGATCTTGGAGGCTTTCCCTCGGCAGGGCCAGATCGCTCGTGCAGCAGGGGTTGATCCAACAGGCAGACCCAGCCGGGGCCTGCGAGGTGGCCGGGAAGAGCGGGAACGTGGCCGGGAGATTGCGCGGCGGCGCTGGGTCACCTGGCCGCCGTGTGTCAGCCCCGTAGCTCCCAGGTGTACTTGACTCGCTTCGCTTCAAACCAACCCCACGGGCCACCGAGCGTTCGCTGCCCCACGCTGGGGAGGAGCGGGGCTGGAGGCGCGCGCGTCGTGGGGCGGCGGCGGCGGCGGCGGCGGCGGGCGGGCGGGCCCCCTCCGGGGGTGCGGGAGGCGGCTGCGGGAGGCCGGCGGTCGGCGCCGGCGGGAGAGGAGCGGGTCGGCGCCGCCCCTGCCCCCCTGCCTAGACCCGGCCTTGGAGCCGGGCCGCGCTGCCGGCCGCGCTGCACGGGTTCGGGCGGCCTGGAGCCCCAAGCCAGAGCGCTGCTGGGGACCCCCTGCGAGTCGCGGGGCCTCCCGCGCCGCCCGGAGGAGCCTCTCTCTACGTTCTAAGGCTCACTTCACTCTTTTCAAACAGTCTTTGGTGTTGAAGGGCAAAGTCTGTTAGGGTGAAGAGGAGTTTGCTGAGATTTCAGGGCAGCGACGCACATTCACTTCAGTGTTTCCATTTGCCTTTCTCATCCCCCCCCCCACCTCTTTACTCCATCAGACACCAGAGCTCATTCCCCACTTCTTGTGATCTTTCCACCTTTCTTTTACAGGAGAACTTTTCCTGTGCTGTTCTTGTAGTTTATCCAGGTAATCAGCACCAACACAAGGTAACTTCTGTGTTCCCAAGGGAGGACCCAAAGTTAGAATGCAAAAGCTGCAGGTTGGATCTCTGGGTAAGGGCGGGGGTGGGGTGGGGGGGATAAAAGAATGTATCTAGGGTGGGTTTAGGTACACTGGGGATCTCGGAACACCAGACTCATTCCCAAGATATTCACCTTCTTCTCTTGGAAAAGACAAAGATTTTTGCAGCTTAGGCCTTGCCATAGAGGGAAGTTATAGAAAAGCATAGGAAGGAAAATGAGAACAGATCAACAAAGAATACATTCAGCTAAAGGAGGCATTGGCCAATATCTGCTATTTCCAAGGTATACTTTATTTTAAAATCCACATCGAAAGATACCTTAAAAAGAATAGGGATGTTTACTAAACAGCATCTAAATAAAACCTCCTTAACTGTCCCCAGTTCATTCCAGTTTAGAATAGCCTTTCAGAGTTTAGTTTGTATCTTTCATATGGCTTGCCATCATTCACTCATTCGTTCATGCATCCATAACAGGCTACCTACATCATCATCAAGCTTGACATTTTGATTACTTTTGAGAGTTGGAGGATTTTTTAGTTTGTTTTGCCTTCCATAGATTTTTCTCACAGAGGAAACCATAGCTTAAGCATTTAAATTATGGTGATTTTCTGCTTTGTGATGTCTGGAGTGTCCAGTGCTACTAACTACGATTTCATTACCATGGATGGATAAAGAATTTATGAAATATGTCATGTTTAGTGGGAAAGCATGTAATTTGGAAATTTAAAATAAGTTTCTGCCCTAAATAGCTGTGAAAGAGAGACAGAAGCCTGCTAATTATTGGGTGGTCATATAACTCTTTGAAAGCAGCACTTGACAGTTTCCCAACACATACATAAACTAAGGCATTGGTCATGGGCTGTTGGTTAGACATGGGCTGTTGGTTAGAGGACAGAAGGAAACATTTGCTGTTTAAGTCTCACAAGAGATGCTGAAAGCTGGGACCAAAGAGGACCATAGAGGATACACCAAAAGTTTTACCTTATCATCTCATTTTACTTTCTATGAGTTAGCAGTAATAGAAAACTTACATCTCTTTGGGCTCAGCATGCTACTTCAGAAAAGAATAAAAACTTGGCATCAAACTGCCTTCTAACAGGTTCTTTTAAACTCAGTAATTTTCTGTAATGTTTGTTAGAAGATATACACACACTCCTATGTTTCAGAACTATCATTTGACATTAAAATTTCTGCAAACTGTGAATATTTTCTAAGTTTCGCCATCAGAAGCACACCCTGGTCACAGATTTTGAAACACAATTTATTTAGTTAAGGCATACCACTTAATGTGTCCTTCGCCTCTCTTATACAGTAGTTATCCCAAGTTTTAGAGACAGGAAAGATAGTCAAGCTCATTGCATATACACTCGTATTATGAAAAAATACTACTGAAAGATGAAGAAAAATGGACAAGATGGATAATAAAATCCAATTATTAAATTGAAACAAAGATTTTAATTTATATGCTTTCATGTTTAGTTTCAAAGCTTCTGTTGACTTATGTGGGGCCACTGATGAATAGGAAGTCAAGTAATTATCAGTTCAGGGAACAGAAGTTGAAGCTATGGCTGCACAAGTCAAAGTGTTCACATAAAATATGAAAATTTTGACCATATATTCTGACTAAACTGAACCCTCAATTTTACCAATTTTTATTTTTATTTATTTATTTTTAAGATTTTATTTATTTATTCATGAGAGACACAGATAGAGAGGCAGAGACACAGGCAGAGGGAGAAGCAGGCTCCATGCAGGGAGCCCAATGTGGGACTCGATCCCGGGTCTCCAGGATCAGGCCCTGGGCTGAGGCAGTGCTAAACCGCTGAGCCACCCAGGGATCCCAATTTTACCAAGTTTTAAAAATCAAAATTCACTATCAATGTTGATGTCATGTAAATTCAACCTTTATATAGTCCCCCATGCCTAGCTAAACCAGAATCTGTAACTGAATAGAAAACATCAAATGGAAGATTTCTGTAACTAATTTAATCACTGAAAACTGCTAAACTGGATATTTCAAGACTCAGATTTGATAAAGATGAAGCATATCTGTTGCTGTGTGAATGCTAGTAGAGAAATTTCAGTTTTAAAATATTTTTCTTTGAGGATTTTCAGATGAGCTGATGAGAGCTTCTGATTACCTAGGATATCTGTTATCATGTTATTCACTGAAAAAAGGGGGACACCTATATAATTTTATCGACCATCATTAATAGAATCTTGTATTAAAAAATATGGAAAGGACTAAGGTAAACACCTAGACATATATTTTCTTACTGAAAAAAACTTACTTTGTAATGCATGCCTATGCTTGTAAGTAGGTGGATTAAACAATGTGTGTATAAATTCTTGCCTCCTTCAATCTAGATGTCAACCCCCAAATTCTACCAAGAGAAAATAGCTCTTTCTGTTAAGCGCTGCTTTTTTCTTTTGATCCTCTTACAGGTTAACACCCTAGGAGAGATAACACATTGTCACTAGCACTGTAATAGGAAACAATTACACTGATCCTCTCCCCAGGCCCCATCCCCCAAGCAAGAGAGGGCCAAAACTGCATAGGGTGTCCTGAAAGACAAAAGAGAGGTAGTGAGAAGGTCAAAGAAAACAATCCAGTTTAGCAAATATTCATTGACTATCTGTCTGATCTGTGAGATACACTTTGGCCTTCCACAATTTTGTTTGGGAATACCATCTTGGCATCCATAATGTGAATTGTGAATTCTTATAAGGTTTATTATTACTGATTCTAATGAGAGTCAGGAAATTATTGAAATTGAGAAAAATTTAGTTTTACAGAAATGTTTTCTGGGATTTAGGTATTTGTGATTTAATGCATGTGGATATAAGATACTGTATAGAATTCTTTAGTGAGTTACTGAGATTTGGCATGGTAAAATCAATAATTGCGTGATGTCTTGGAAGTGTGGTCAGGAGGCTGAATTGTAGGGCTTGTAGAATCTGCTCCAACATTCTAGTAAAAAAGACACTGTGAAATTACCGTTGAAATTACTTTGGAAATTACGATCTTAATACCGTTCTCAATATTACATCATAATTACATGATTTAGAAGATCATAGCAAAATTGCCTATGTAAAAAATAATTATTTCATCTGATCTCATCTTTATCTTTCCTGCATCCCTCATGATTTTAAATAGAATAATATATGTAAAAGCATGTTTTTAAGTTTTCACTTAAATATAATTTTTATTTCATTTTTTTAAGGATTTAATTTATTTATTTGTTCATGAGAGACAGAGAGAGAGAGAGAAAGAGAGAGAGGCAGAGACACAGGCAGAGGGAGAAGCAGGCTCCTATGCAAGGAGCCGGATGCGGGACTCGATCCCTATCCCGGGTCTCCAGGACCACACCCCGGGCCGAAGGCGGTGCTAAACCACTGAACCACCCAGGGATGCCCTAATTTTTAAAAATTATAAAATCCATTAATTCCCAGGCAATATATCATTTTTTATGCTGAAACTTGCAAGAAAAGAAACCAAGCAGTGTATAATAAAATAATAACACTTTACATGTATGATTTCCTCTTCATATAGTTTGCTATGATGCAAATTTTACATAGCATATACACACAGAATGTGTGTAGCACACAGTGTGCTAGCAAACAAGTGACTCAAAATGTGTTTTTTAAAAATAGAATATGTTACTTGTCAGAAACTATAGTTTACATGGCCAAAGTGGTGCTCCCATTGAACAAATATCTATATTTGTAAGGGACTTTGTCTTGACCTCTCAAATGTTAACTTGTAAAAAGATATATTTAATTAGAATTTTATCTTTTATGCTACCATGTATTTTTTCACTTACACGTGTGTACAGGTTTGCGTTTGCCAAACCAAGTAATTTTCCAAAGAATGGAATAAAAACTCTCTAGCAATGTAGAATCATGAGTAAGTTGGGGGAAAACATACAACCAACTTTTCTTTTTTACCAATTCCATATTGTCCCTTTTGTGTTTCTCTTATTCCACACATAGACAATTTCTCATATTTCTGTGTCTCGTTTTTTAACACGTTTACACAGCATTCATAATCACGTCCCCCATCTTCCAAATATCTAAAATCATTAATGCTGTTTTAATATCATACTGTAATTGTGATAGAAATATAACTTTGTATCATGTTCTATTTATGCTTTATTAATAACATGATCACAGCATCGTGATATACACATCGTTTATTGTATCTAACTTTACAAAGCATTCTGTGTGCTTTGTCACTATTTGATAAAATGATAATGCTTCTAAATCCTTGGGTATGCATCACACACCCAAATAATTTGTACATCCAAATATATTGAAAAGAGCATTTTGAAAACATTTTGAGGAAATGTTTCTTTCAGAGTTTCTTCTTTAAAGCAAGAGTAGTTCCTTTCTAATAGTTTTTTTGGATTTTTTGTTTTCTTTTCTTTTTTTCTTTTTTTTTAAGATTTTTATTTATTTATTCATGAGAAACACACAGAGAGAAAGAGGAACAGACAAAGGCACAGGGAGAGGGAGAAGCAGGCTCCATGCAGGGAGCCTGACGTGGGACTCGATCCCAGGTCCCCAGGATCACACCCTGGGCCAAAGGGAGTGCTAAACCTCTGAGCCACCCGGGCTGCCCCTTGTTTTATTTTCAAGAAGCATACACTAATAAAGTGGTAGTGGCAGTTTCCTTGAAATGTGTTTTATCTACTCTGGACTAAATAACTTTTAACAAAGACAATAGTTCTTCAGCTACCCCTTCCCCCCATGAACTTCCTGACAAAGTGTTTAAGAAATCAGGTTGAATAAACAGCAGTATTTGCTATGATTATAGGTACTAACTCACATTGTACAAAAAAGTGCTTAATAAAAATATTCATATATAAGTATTTATATATATCACATATATGTGTATCCACAGAACTACTTTTTTGTTAACTGAATAATTTTATATGTACTTCAAATACTGCAGGGTGAGGTTACTATTTTTAAAAATTCTGGTAAATTTCTCTATTCAACAGAATACTGTTGAGATATCCTAATTAGTATATGTATTCAGAATATTGTATATTGAAAGGTTGATATTTACTTCCCTTCTTCCATCCTTTCTTCTTTCCTTCCTTTCTTCCTAAAATAAGTCTCTTTTTAGCTTTAGTAAAGTACATTATTTTGTTCTCTTCCCCCCCACATACCTCATGAACTGTGGTGTGTGATTCTCCTGACACAGTTGATGGACTTTCAAATTATTATAGGAGACAGAGGATATTGATTTATAATGCTAACTATGAAATACTAAATATAAGCAATAGTGTAATGAAATACTTCATTATTATTATTATTATTATTTTGCCAGGAAAGCCATTTAAAATGCAAGATGCCTCAAAGCATAATGCGTTAAATGCTCATTGAGCCAATAATCCAAAATTATTTATAATGCTTTCAACATCTTTTTATGTGTAATATTTAAATGAACTACTCATTGAATGATTGAATATGGTGTATATTGATTTGTACTTGTGTAGGTATTATAATTTGGAAAGAGGGATTTATTTCATGTAAATAAATAAATAAATAATTTGTCTCTGGCTTTCAATGGTTTATACTAGTCTTGGGTCAGACTTTATGAGCTTTAATACTAAAAGCAGTGTATTATCTCTGATAGAAAACAATGGATGAGAATTATTTTGAAAAGTCTTTAAAGAAATTCTTTTAGATTCCTTTACAACTTGAAAAAATTCTATGGTTAAATATTGTTGGGACAACTGGGTGGCTCAGTGGTTGAGCATCTGCCTTCAGCTCAGGTCGTGATCCCAGGGTCCTGGGATCGAGTTCCACATCAAGCTCGGAGCCTGCTTCTCCCTCTGCCTATATTTCTGCCTCTCTCTCAGTATCTCTCATGAATAAATACATAAAATCTTTTTAAAAATTGTTTACTAAAAGTGACTTATCACTTGTAACAAAAAAGAATTACTAATGAATCAGAACTAAATTTTTGAATTTTAAAATTTGTTATTTTAAGTGAACACTTGTGTTCTAGGTTTTTTTTTTAACATTAATGAAGGTCATGAGAAATAAGGATGTTAAATACTATGGTTCTTTTTAAATCACAGCTATAAAGAATGAAAAGAATCTATGTAGAAATTTAATTCACCATGATTTATAGAGGAGTCTGTGTTTTATTTTGGGATTTCTGTCATCCTAGGTATTTTGGAAATATTTGCTGTGTCTCAGGGGATTGTAGGAATACGAGGAGTTTTCAGCAACAAATTTTTAGCGATGTCAAAAAAAGGAAAACTCCATGCAAGTGTAAGTAGAACCACTTTCTATTTGTTAAAGGTGTTATGGAGATTTTACATTTGTAGAATGGAATGAAATGATTTTCCACATTGTTAGATGAACAATTGGCTCAGAGGACTTAATGATTTCTTGGGTTTTTAAAAATTATGTGTACACTTAACCAAATTAATTATACATGTTTTTATAAGTAATCATATTCATATTTCATTTACTTGAAAAAATAATAGAGTCTACAAAAAACTTAAGAATAAATGATTTTGAAAATAGCACTCTCAAAGTGATCGACATTATTTATTTCTTAAAATTGGTCCGACTGAGGGAAATATTATGAGAATACTAATAACACTACATAACAATTAAAATGTGCATTTTTCTCATGATTGTGCATATTTAGTATATCAGGTTCTTGTTCAATTTTACAAGCGATTCATGATTTCAAAAATTAGGTGTAAGTAATATATTTTCACAACAATAAGTATGAAGAGAAACCAATAATGAGAAGATTTTGATCTTTCTTAGGGAAATTCAATTTATCCATTTGAAGACTCATTTTGTATTTTTGTTGCATCAAAAATGATACTTCTTAAAATTATGAAGACAATTTTGCACTCAAAAATTTCTTCAAGCTATTTTACATTTTTAAATCAATTTACAAACTACAGATTTCTGTTTTTGTCTGAACATGCTCGTTAGTTGAGAAGCATTAAAACATTTGAAAGATAATAAACTATGTCAGATTAGTTTTGCTACTCACAGATATGATTTACAGATTTGATTTAGTACATATGCCCAGCACTTAAAAAGTGATTTATGCTTTTTCTGTAGTGTACTAAGATTTGTCACATTACATCATTTTTTTCAAGCAATTATTATTTAACTCTTATTCTCTTTGATTTTTACTAAATGAATTGGAGAAATAATCACTTTTCTGGTTTTTTTTTTAAATTTTTTATTTATTTATGATAGTCACAGAGAGAGAGAGAGAGAGGCAGAGACACAGGCAGAGGGAGAAGCAGGCTCCATGCACCGGGAGCCCGACGTGGGATTCGATTCTGGGTCTCCGGGATCGCGCCCTGGGCCAAAGGCAGGCGCCAAACCGCTGCGCCACCCAGGAATCCCACTTTTCTGGTTTTTGAAGTATATAGGAGCTTTTAATTAAGAGTGCAATCAGTTGAAACTTACTATTTATGATTTTTACTTACAGATCTTTAAAAAAATTCATTGAGAATTTCACTTGCTTCAGTGTGTAAGAATTTCAGTTTTCCTTCTTCTAGCATTCAATTTCCCTTTTTCTAAAGGTGACTTGTTAATATCTCATGGAGGGGGTAGCAGAATTCAAGCTATTTCTATAATTATATGAGGACTAAATTAGATAAAACTTTAAAACTTTTAAAACAGTATTTGGTACATTGTAAGTGCTCAATATATACTATCTATTATTTGGTAATCTAAATATAATAGATACTAAAATCTCAGTTGATTGAGATAAATGAAGAACCGTTGCTAACCTCTTTAATCACCAATCAAAAGAATTATAAAAAGATTTACCTGCTCTATCTTCTGAGGTGGTTATTGTAATTCAGCAAGCTATAATCACTCCTCAATTATTTATTTATTTTAAGGGGCAAAGTTCTGCATCACTGCGCAAAAGTAGGACATGCCATTTTATTAAAAAAATTTGATTTTAAAAAATCAGCATGCAAAATAGAAGACAATGATCAAACACATCTAAACACAATCGCTTTTCCACAGCCTACTTTAAGGTTGTAAAAAATTGAAACACTTTCAGAACCTAAGCATCATCATAAAGTGCAGTGCACTGTAAAGAAACTCTTTTATTGGTTTGTTTTGGGTGAGTACCTTAACTTTTAAATTGTTCTAATTTATGCTCTAGTACATGCAAAAAATAGACTAAACTTGAGCCATCTTAAGGATAATTGCCACACTACTCAAAGTATTACAAATGGATGCCAATTAGAAAGGTCACATCGAGAGGTGAGGATACATGATTCCCCTGTCAAATGCAAGTAACAAATTTTCAGAAATTTGACCCAAATGTTTAAGGATGGCTGGCTGAAATAATGCAGATAATGCAAAAACAGCATCTGTTATTCTTTCTCATCTTGGCAGGCTAAAGTTATTTCATGGAATAATGACTTTTAAACAGTACAAAGCAAGTCTTGCTCTTGTCACTCACTGAAGCTCTTTGATATAAAAGTCATTCTAATGACTTTGAGCTGAATTGTAGATAAAAAATAAAGCCCTACAATTATGTGGATTCTTTTTAAATCAATTGTCCAAGCCCACTTTTTCCTATCTGAGTTTTTATTAGCACTTTTTCTTTAGATGGAAACCTAATTAAATTATGAAGTGATTTATTTTTAATAAAGTTTAATTTAGAAATAGTATTAATCCTAACAATTATCAGTTTTATGCCCAGATGGTTTCTTTCTTGTTTTCTTCTAGTTAAACACATTGAAAAATTGTTCTTGTAACTTTAGATATAATTATTTGATTTAGTTTTGATCTTCACTAAATTGCATTGTCACTTAAAAGGCTGAAAACCTTTATATTCTTAGGATTAAATGTGTAATCCATGAGCTGCTTTAAATTAATAAATTAATATGTGCAGAGGCATTTAAAGAGTACTTTATAATCATTTTGCTGTATATACAAGCATATATATATATATATATATATATATATATATATATATATATATACAAATCATGTTGTACATCTGAAGCTTACACAGTGTTATATGCCAACTGTATCTTACAAAACTGGAAATATTTGAAATTAATAGAGTTTATTTATAAAGGTAAATAGGGTTTTATTTATAAAAGTAATTATGAACCAGGGGATCCCTGGGTGGTGCAGCGGTTTAGCGCCTGCCTTTGGCCCAGGGCGCGATCCTGGAGACCCGGGATCAAATCCCACGTCGGGCTCCCGGTGCATGGAGCCTGCTTCTCCATCTGCCTGTGTCTCTGCCTCTCTCTCTCTCTCTCTCTCTGTGACTATCATGGATAAATAAAAATTAAAAAAAAATTTTTAAAAAATAAAAAAAATTTTAAAAAAGTAATTATGAACCAGAATTCTGGGGAAAGTAATTCCCACAGTATATTGAAGAATATTAATGGATAATTGTAGATTTTCAACTCGGTTTTTTTTTCAGCTCGGTTTTTATAGTAATGATTAGAATACTAAAAATTAGTTGCTAGGCACAGACAATATATTTGCACAGTTCTTTAAAAGCTCTTTTACTCACATTATCTCATTACATGATTAGGTGAGGAAAGAGTCTTAGATATGTTAACTCATTTCCCAAGTTAACACAGTTAACAAGTGACTGAACCAGAACCATCCTTTTAAATTTCTCTTTCTCTGTAAATGCTATAATGCTTTTTAGGGAAAAGCTAGTTGAAAGAAGATACTAAGTTTTGTTTGGAACCAGTTACATTGTTTTCTAGGAATTAATAATCACATAGTTTAATAATATTTTCATACTACATGTTAAAGAATAAATATTGTGGCATGTCCTTACAGTATTTTTCTTGTGCTGTGGACCCCCTTACCCAAGCTCTGTTGGGACTCCTTTTTTCTCATTTATTTCTGTGTCTCTAGTATTTGACTTTAAAGTCTAGAGAAGCAGAGGGATTTGTTTGCCACAGAACTTATCACAGACTTTTACACATTGGTCATTCAATATGATGATATGTTGCATAGGGAACACCTTTCAAGATGAACTTTCAAAGCAGAAGAGAGCTCTGTTTTGTTCACTGAGATTTTTCATTTAGAAAACGCTTCATTATTCGCAGACGCAAAGATGGTGGATAGAAATAAGAGCCCAGAATGATTACACTTAGGCAACATTCGTGCTGATTTCTTTCTGTTACCTCAGTAAGAGAAATTGTATTGGAACTTCATCTCTGTGTGTGCTTCTTCCGGCACTCATTCAGCCTACAAAATCTAGCAACCCACATGCAGCTCTCCTTACAGTCTTTACCAATATCCTCCAAATATACAGGGCAGCCAGATTCCTACCATACAGGTTTTTTCAGCATTCTTTATGAGGAAGAAGGTGTCTGGTCTTCTCAAGATGTACTGGGAATCAGTGAGAGTGGGAGTAGATGCCTCCCTAATTGCTGTGAGGGTTCGTCAGAGCCTTCGCTGTGACCTACATACACTCTCCTCAATTTTCTGGGCTGAGGTACTTGTGGAAATGAGCTTACTTCTCTTTGTCACTGTCTCTCTGCCTGCTTGTCTGTTCCTGTTCCTTCCTCACCCTGTTCCTGCTCTCTCCTCAGGTTTGTTTTATCTATCAAAATCCCCCTAGAAAGCCTTTCTGGATTTATGTGAGTTAGGTTCAGATGTAGGAGTGAGAGACCTTGAGTGTAGTGGTTATGAACACAGATTGTGTCAATCTAGTTTAATTAAACCTAGTCATTTTACCTAATCTTTCTCTTCCTTGGTTTTATCAACTATAAAAAGAAGGAAAACTAAAGGAGCAATCTATTGTGATAGTTGAGTGGTTTTTTTAAAGATTTATTTATTTATGATAGACATAGAGAGAGAGGCAGAGACACTGGAGGAGGGAGAAGCAGGCTCCATGCAGGAGCCTGACGTGGGACTCGATTCTAGGTCTCCAGGATCAGGCCCTGGGCTGCAGGCGGCGCTAAACCGCAGCGCCACCGGGGCTGCCCAGTTGAGTGGTTTAAATGAGATAATACATATAAAACACTCAGCATAGTGCCTGGAAAGTATTCAGCATTTCATTTTAAAAAGATCTTCCTTAATTTGCTCTCAGGCAGCTGTATAATGATCCAGTCTCCTCTCTCAGAACAAGACTTTGTGATTTGGGGGTTGGACAGCTGTGACCCCTCAGATATTTAGACCAGCCCCAAATCCTTTTTTATCATTGAACTTTTTTTCTGTAGGTCCAAATTTTTTGTGCCTACGAAGTCCCTTATCTCCAGAGTTTTCCTTTTTTTCAAGGAACCTAATTTGAA